GGGAAGCCCGGTCTCGCCCAGGGACACGGAGAGCCACACGCCAGGGCCACAGCCCAGCAGCACTGGGTCCCCGACATGGCCCTGGTTCCTCCTACTTCCTATCAGCACCCCTAAGGGGGAAAGAGCGGGGTATCAGGTTGTGTATAAAACGTTCTTCATTATATCGACCAGTGATCACAGCCAAGCCAGACAGCACACACACCGGCCAACACAGCCTGGCGGAGATTTCCATCCTGTCAGCAGAGGTGCCTTAAGGTGATTGGATTGAGATATTTTTAATTCTCTTCCTTTAATTCCCTTCTCTCCCTACTTCTCTGTCTCCTAGATTTTCTGTAATGAATACATATTTTAATAGCTCTACTGAGGTACAATGGACACGCAAAAACGCATGTATTTTACGTATATGGTGTGATGAGTGTGGACATATGCATAATTTATATTATGTTTATGATGGAGAAATAACCATGCTATTAAGTTAAAGTGGCAGTGTAACCAAGGGTACCCAGAGCCAACGTGGGCCATAAATGCTGGGCGGTTACCACAGTAACGGACACTAAACGTCTGCAGGCAATTTACAACATGTACGTCAGTTTCATATCCACCACCCCCTGTGCCCCCCGGCCCTGCAGGAGGTGTGACTGTGAGTCCTGCTGGCAGAGCCTCCTGCGCCGTTCCTGGGCCAGGCGGCCGTCCTGGGCTGGACCTGGGCTCCAGGGCCGTGGCTGCGCGGCCATGGGCTGTCACACCCCTTCTGGAGGCTCAGTGGTGCCATCTTAGCAGGGGGATAGTTGCATGTGCCCAGGGTGAGGAGCTCCAGGGGACGATGGAGGCGAGGGGTTTGGGAGGAAGAACCTCGGAGCGTGGTGGTGGTTGTTCCGCGGCGGTGCTGGCTGAGAAAGGGGAGCGGGCACATCACAGCACCTGCTAGGCACAGCACGACCACCCCACCCCGCTCAGCCGGGGGGGCTGTTCCCCTGCGTTAGAGGTGGGAAGGGTGCACGCTCCCCCGCCCCCACGCACGAGGTGCCTCTCGGACGCTGCGCTGACCACGGCGCCACCTTCGCGGGCCACCAGGCAGCTCTGATCACCATTCAGGTCTCCACTGCCCCGGGGAAGCCGCCAAGTCCTGCACGCCAGGATCTATTCCTTTGTTTGTATCACAGCATCTCCTGTGGGGCCTGGGACAGCCTGGGGATGGGGACAGTGTGAGGCCGCGAGAGGGCAGGCCTGACCCGGCAGACTCTGGCCCAGGCCCAGCAGCACCATCCGCAGGGAGTGCGGCCCGAGACCGTGTTCCCTCGCCTGTACATTAGGTCTCGTGCGGACTGTGGTGAGGACAGGGCTGCATGCAGGACAGGATGCTCAAATGGGGCTCCCCGAACCCCAGCTCCCACAGAGGTGCCCTCAGGAGGGGTCAGGACAGCATGGGGAGGAGCCCAGAGAACCGGGACTGTGGGACGCGCTGGACCAGGACAGGGCATAGTAACAGCCGACCCTGGGTCCTCCCTGGACACCGTGCAGCGCGGCCTCAGCAGGTTTTAGCATCTTCCCTGTGTGATGCGGCCTCCACACTGTCTAATGCTACACGTTCCCGTCACCCCAAGAAACCCTGCGCCCCAGCGGTCACTGCCCCCTCCCGGCCACCGCAGACGTGCCTGTCCTGGACGTTTCACGTGACGGGAATCCTACGACCTGTGGCCTGTGCCGGCCTCTCCCTCAGCCTCAGGCTCTCAGGTTTGCCGGCTGGAGCGATGGTCAGCGTCTCCTCCTACGACCTGTGGCCTGTGCCGGCCTCTCCCTCAGCGATGGTCAGCGTCTCTGTCCTTTTTACGGCTGATGACACTCCCCTGGGGTCACATGCCTTTACAGAAAGGCCTGCTCCCTTCAGGCAGAAACCCAGGCCCCAGAAGAGGGGGGGCAGGGGAGGGAGCCTGGGAATGGCCCTGGATCCCTGACCACGCTTGGCCCACATCTGCCAGCGGAGGGGCCAGGGCAAGTGGGGGCCAGCGCTGCCCTTTCGGTGGGTGCCTCAGGGCCAGGGCTGGGGCTGCCAGCTCCTCCCTGCCAGGCCAGACGGCCCCTGCAGAGTGGCTGTTGGCCTGGCCGGCACAGAGGCAGATGGGCCTGGGGACAGGGGACTGGGCAGCTGGGGGCTGCCTGTGGTCAGCTGGACCCGGTCAGGCTGCCGGCCTGTTTCTAGGCCAGGTCGGATGGTGCTCATGGCAGCAGTGACGGCCAATCAGCTCCAGCACAGCCCTCCAGGCGCCACCCCTCACTCAGACCCCTGGGGCCCTCCAGGTGGTCAGGTGGCCCGAGGCCAGAGCTACAGGGTCGGGCAGGGGACCGAGGAGCCCACCTGCTCCCGCCTCTCCTTGCAGCACAAGCTCCTGAAAGCCCCGAGGCAGCGTCACCCGGCCTCTCTCCTGCAGACGGAGGTCCCAGGGCCCCGCCCCGGCCCCCGGATCAGAATCACTGGTGCCTGGAACCTGCATTTGACAAGGTCCCCGGGCGCTGAGGTCTGAGAGCCACTGGGAAGTGCTGACCAGGCCGTGACGGGAGACCCCACTTCAAAAGCCACCCGATTCTCAGCAGGTTACAGACGTGCCTGAGCCTGCTCGCCCATCCCTAAAGGGATGTGAGGATTTCATGAGGCAACAGATATCTAAGTGCCCGGCAACGAACACCTGCCCGGAAAGTGTTAGTGCGGTCAGTACTGGGTTGTTCTCATGATGCACCCAAACCAAGTCCCAGAACCGTGGGATACGGAGAGGAAGGGGGAGGGCAGGAATCACTAACCAGACGAAGACAGAGAGGGCCTGGCATGTGGCGAATCTGCAGCTGGGTCCCGGCTCCGAATCCCAGCCTCTCCTGCTCTCATTTCACCCCCGAGCCTCAGTTTCCCTCCGTGCATGATGGCGACACGAACTGCCCAGGCCGGAGGGCTCTGCCAACTGTCAAGCGCTGCCCCGTGCCAGTGTGAGGAGCCGTCGTGGGGAGGGACGTGGGGCCTGGTGCTGGCCCCGACCAGTGGCCATGTCCGGGCAGCTGGCCTCGCTGGCTCCTCCTCCCGCCCTGCCTCCCGCAGGCGCGGCCTCTGCCCAGGCAGGCGAGTGGGGCCAAATGGCCAGCTGACAGACAAGACACCTTCGGGCCGCATCACATCAGCGTGCCCATCCGAGCCCTGGCCAAGACCGTGCCGGCTCCAGGCGCAGGGGAGACGCAGCTCA